TTAATTGGTCTCTTTAACCTCAGAGTTTATCCTTCTGTCTGTCTTGCACAGTGCAACAGAACTATTTCCCATCAGTTCTTCCAAACACATGTTGAGTCCCCATATTTATAAGCCATGATCTACTTTCACAGCCTTGCTCACTACTTTCCTTCACAGCCTTGTCTCGCCCATTCCTGGCCCCAAGTCCTCAAGATCCAGGGATCTAGGACTCACATTGACACATCATCACTCACATTCCTATTGCTTTACATATTGTGTTTTTTTTCTTCCTGAAATGCTCTTTATCTCCTTGTCTGGTAAGACCTCAGTCATCCTTCAGATCCTAGAAAAATGTCATCACTTGAATAAAACCTTCTTTAATTTTTCTTTATCCATAGGCTGAATTACGGTTTCTCTCCTCTCTATTTTCATAGTTTATAATTATATCAGTTACTTAGTTGGTGGATAACTCACTGATTACTTGTTTACATGACTTTGCATGCCCCCCCCCCTTTTTTCCTTCTGAATTCTGAATTTCCTAGAGCTGAGACTGACTGTTAATTCATCTCTGCCCCTCACCCCCCAGTACTTAATGTGCTCAGTAAATGTCTGGTTCAGTCCTCCAGAAATACTATTATTTATAAAACAGTTGGACATATTTAAATATTAGATCAGGGAGACTTGGTGAGGTGTAATTTGAGTATAAATAATGGAGTTAGATGATTCATAATTCTCAGTCTGGCCCTTGTCCACTAGTTGGTGGATAACTCACTGATTACTTGTTTACATGACTTTGCATGCCCCCCCCCTTTTTTTCTTCTGAATTCTGAATTTCCTAGAGCTGAGACTGACTGTTAATTCATCTCTGCCCCTCACCCCCCAGTACTTAATGTGCTCAGTAAATGTCTGGTTCAGTCCTCCAGAAATACTATTATTTATAAAACAGTTGGACATATTTAAATATTAGATCAGGGAGACTTGGTGAGGTGTAATTTGAGTATAAATAATGGAGTTAGATGATTCATAATTCTCAGTCTGGCCCTTGTCCACATCTCCATTGGTGACAGCTGACCTGATTGGTATCTTAAATATATACTGATTTCATCAGAAATGACTAAAGATAGTAATTCCTATTTCTCTTATTCTTTGGCTGAAGCACATACCCTCCTGAGGATAGCAGTACATCTATCTAACGCTTGTGAGAATTGACTGAGTTAATATATTTTAAAGCAGTTAGAACAGTAGTCAGCAAATGGTAAACATGAAATAAATGCTAGCTATTATTAGTCTAGTAAGAATTTATAATATTCTTTAAGATGTGTTGGCTATAGAAATTATAAGTGGTTAACTTAATAGAATTCTTAAATTAAAGTATTTTTATGTTTCATACTTTGTCCCAGGTTAGGGATATGAAGAAGAGTAGACATAGCCCTTGACTTGTCAGTGCTCAGCCAAAAATTCTTCTTGACTCAGATTTGAAAAGATCCAGTGGAAAGATCTATGAATCAGTAACTTTGAGCAAAGACCCTTACCTCAAGCTCATTAGAGATCTCTTGTGAACTCCCTTCTTTCAGGTATTCTCTTAATACCTTAGTCAAAAGCACTTTCATTCTTCCATTTTTTCATGCCAAGGAATCTAGATGTCGCCGTTGGGTTTTCTTTCCAATCACCCTCCATCCACATCCATTCTATCAAAAGTCCTTATGATTTTGCCTGTAAAATACAGCTGTCTACTTCTTTCTGTTATCACTACTACCAACATAGTTCTTGTCATCATTATCTCTTGCCTTAAAATTGGTGTTTTAGTTTCCATTCCTTCCCCTCTACAATCTTTTTTTAAAAAATAAAACAGCTATTTTTGAAACATAAATGATAAATATATCAATTTAAAACCATTGGGCCTGGCTGGAGTGTCTCAGTGGTTGAGCATCGACCTATGAACCAGGAGGTCACAGTTCAATTCCCAGTCATGGCATATGCCTGAGTCCTGGGCTCCATCCCCAGTACGGCATGCAAGAGGCAGCTGATCAATGATTCTCTCTAATCATTGATGTTTCTCTCTCTCCCTCCCTCTTCCTTCCTCTCTGAAGTCAATAAAAAGAAATATTTAAAAAATGAAAAATAAAACACTCCATTGGCCTCTCATCATATTTGAAATAAAATCTTAATTCCTTACTCTGGCCTATATATATTGGCTCTTGGTTACCTCTTTAACTTTATCTGCTGCTAACTTTCTCCCTTATTCTGCTTCAGCAGTTTTCAATCATTTCACCTCATGGCACACAAACTGATTTCTAAAATTCTGCACACACCAAAAATATGTAATATTTTTTGCTGATCTGACAAAAAAAATAGGTATAATTTTGATCCATTCACATCGGACAGTTATTGTTGTGTTGTGTTGGCTGTTGTCTTTTATTTAATTGACTATCTAAGGGAAAAGAGGTCAGTGCCCCTGACTAAAGTAGTCAAGCATTGCATGTTTTAATAATTCTAGCAACACAAACACACACAAGTTGAAAATTGCTCTTCTACTTCATTTACATTGACGAATCTTTTCTCTTTTTCTAATTTGCCAAACCTCAAGGTCTTTTTGTTAGCTTGTTTCTTCTCCAGATCATCTTGTGGCTCATTTCTATTTTATCTCTCAACTTTTTGTGTCAACTTTTTAAAATGAGGTTTTCCACCCTGGACAGGTAGCTCAGTCAGTTAGAGCATCGTCCTGACATGCCACGGTTGAGGGTTTGCTCCCTGGTCAGGGCACATAAAAGAATCAATCAATGAATGCGTAAGTAAGTGGAACAACAAATATCTCTCTCTCTCTCTCTCTCTCTCTCTCTCTCTCTCTCTTCTCAGTAAATAAATATTTAAAAATAAATAATAAAATGAAGTTTTCCCTCAGCACCCAATGCAAAATAGCACCCAAACTATCACATTTTATTTTCAGTATAGTGTTTGTCTTTACTTGAAAAAAAATTATTTTATGTTTTTATTGATTTTGAGATAGAAAGGAAGGGAAAGGGAAAAAGAGATAGTAACATTGGCTGCCTCTCCTGAGGATGGAGGTCACAACCTGGGCATGTGCCCTGATTCGGAATCAAACTGGTGACCTCTTAGTGCATGGAACCATGCTGAGCCACACCACCCGAGCTACTTGAATTATTTAAAATTTTACCTGTTTGACTACCTCCTACAATGTAAGGTCCATGATGGCAGGTTGTCTGTCTTCCCCACCTCCTTGACTTAAGCTACTGACAACTACTAGTAGGTACTCAGTAAATATTTGTGGACTCACTGGATAAATGAATCTTTCTAAATTTCATGTTTCTCAGTTTTAAAATAAAAATTTCAATCTGAATGATTTCTTAGGATAAACAAATCCAGGTACTAAAGGCAATAAAGACAGATTTTATTGAAGTTGCTAGGTACTTTAATATTTTTATGTCTATTTCATAACCTTTTGTTGTTGTTGCTGTTGTTAATCCTCACTGAAGGACATTTTTCCATTGATCTTTTGGAGAGAGTGGAAGAGAGGGAAAGACAGAGAGAAACATTGATGTGAGAGAAACACATCGATTGGTTGCCTCCTGCACGCACCCCAACCAGGGTCCCAGTAGGAGCCTGCAACCAAGGTACGTGTCCTTGACTGGAATCGAACCCAGGACCCTTTGGTCAGCAGGCTGATGCTCTATCTACTGAGTCAAACCGTCTAGGGCTATTTCATAACCTTTAAGATCAGTATTATTCTTGCTCCCCTTTTATAGCTAAAGAAACTGGCTCACAGGTCGTAGAACCCATGGCATTTCTCCTGATTAGTCCCTATTATTGAGTAGAGTGGTTGTCCAAATCTTTTTTCAGTCTGTTAGGTGGCTCTGGTTTTCCTGGAATGCTTGTATATGGAGAGAAGTCTAGAAATTTAAATTTATGCCTTCTATATAATAAAGGCCTAAGCGACCGTTATGGCGGAACAACCAGAACAACCGGTTGCTATGATGCGCACTGACCACCAGGGAACAGACACTCAATGCAGGAGCTGCCCCATGGTGGTCAGTGCGCTCCCACAGGGGGAGCAACACTCAGCCAGAAGTCCGGCTCACAGCTGGCGAGTGCAGCAGCAGTGGCAGGAACCTCTCCCGCCTCCGCAGCAG